AGATGCTGAGCCTGATGGCCAACTGATGGGCAGAGTGAATGGAATTTTATGTAAGAAGTGGGAAATAGTAAGAGCTGGAGGGGACGGGAACTCCACAAGGAGAGCAACAGAACAAGATAATTTGAACACAGGGAACTTCCCAGAAAATCATACTCCAACCAAGGACTATTCGTGGAGATGACCTGGAACCCCTGCACAGATGTAGCCCATGGCAGTTAAGTGTCCAAGTGGTTTACATAGTAATGGGAAGAGGGACTGCCTCTGACATAATCTGATTGGCCTGCTTGTTGATATCTTCCCCCTGAGGAGGGAGCAGCCTTACCAGGCCACAGTAGAGGACAATGCAGCCACTTTTGATGAGAACTGATAGACTAAGATCAGAAAGAAGAGGAGAACCTCCCCTATTAGTGGACTTGGGGAGTGGCATGCATGCAGAAAGGGGTAGGAGGATGGGATCAGCAGGGGAGGAGGGAGGGGCTTATGGGGGGATACAAAATGAATAAAGTGTAATTAATAAAAAATTAAAAAATAAAAAAAAACACCAACCATAAAACTTCTACAAAAGCTGGATGTGTTGATGCATTCTTTTAATTCAAGACCTTGAGAAACAAAAGCAGAGACAGATTTCTCAGAGTGGGAGGCCAGACTGGTCTACATACAAGTTCCAGTCCAGCCAGGGCTCCAAAGAAATATCCTGTCCCTAAAATAAACAAATTAACATACTTCTAGAAGAAATCATAGATGTAGGTCCCTGTGACCTGTTAATAGACAGACAGTCTTAGTCTGGCATAAAACATCACACCCCATGAGTGAAGAAAGTGTCGAAATGTTGTGATGATGGACCTACCTATACTTGTCCGCTGCTGCAGCAGTAGCATGGATGAAGCGGTGTAACCCGCCACATTTATTTAGACTAAGACTCCCTCCATAAGGTGGAACCATGCCTGGCACCTTCATTCAGTCCGAGAACATGTGGCTAGATAATTAAAATTCCCTAGGGGAGAACCTACTGCACTTACTCTCTGAAAGGACTAAAGGCACCACAAGACCCTGGGAAGATGCACCTTTAATCTGGGTCACAGCACGCAACTGGCAGCCTGTATAAAGGACATAGAAGAAGAAGGGTCTCTCCCTCTTTGCCTGCTTGCCATCAATCTAGCTGTCAAATCAATTTCTTCACTGCCATTGGAGCCTACTTCTTCAGATTGCAGAGTATCCTGAAGACCAGCTATGACATCCAGCCTATTGGACAAAGAAACTGCTGGACTCTTGGACTCTCTGTTGATACACAGCCATTGATGGACTAGCAGGACAGCCTGTAATCCACTGTAAAGAGTAATAAGTACTCTTTAAAAATAAATAATTTTATCATATAACTACATATATGTACTATATAACACTTTTAAATACTATCAGCTCTGGTCCTTTAGAACTCTAAGACAATATACAGGGGTATTTGGCCACCATGTACTTTTGTATATCTGTTCACACGTGCAGGCCTAATGACTATAGTAGCCAGTGTCAGAGCCCCTAAAACTGAATTTTTTTTTTCATGACATCTGTGAGCTTGCCATATAGGTGCTGGGAATCAACCCTGGGTCCTTTGGAAAAAAAGCCATGCTTTAAACACTAAGCCATCTTCTTCAGCCCCAAATACAACCTTTAAAACATGTATTTATTTATTCCTTAAAGAATTTTTGAATATAAAATGTTTTCTGATGGGTGAATCGGCCTTGCAATCTGGTGGCATCTCCAATGCTGGCAGCCTTAGAGCTTTTGGTAGTTCTGTATCTTTTGAGGTGTCTGGACTAGTCTGACTAGTAAGGCTACAGCCTCCCTGTTTCACACCAGGGGCCCTGAGCAAGGACCAGGAACCTACAGGAGACCCGCCTTTCCTCCTCAGGCCTCAGGTAGGCCTCATGCTGAAGGCCATGTGCCACATGGCTCTCCACTCTCCCTAGATCTTAGAGTAAGCCCCAAGTACGGAGACAATGCAGAGATGAGGATGAGCACCGGATACCACGCCACCGAGTTCCACACGGTTGCGCGCTTGCTTGGGCTCCGTCAGCTCTAACACGGTCCCAAGTTTGCAGGCACACCCCGCGTGTACTATGCAACATCCCACCAGTCACACGAGATCATGGGGACAACGTGGAGCTCTAGCAGCATCACACCCCTGTGGTGGTGAGTGCGCATCATATCCTTTGTTTAAAGCAGAGGAAAGCAAATTTTGGACAATACTGGACTTGACCTGGAAGTGCCTCAGAGCATAACAGTCCTAGAAAAATCTCTTCTTATTCCCTAAAGCTTCCTGTAGCTCATGCCCCTTTCAGAATGTGGGTGCAGTAGCTGGAGGCTGCCTTGCTGACTGGAGATGCAGTATCAAGAGCTGTTGGCTCAAGCTTTGAGGAGATTAAGTTCAGCCTCTGGAGACTCTGGCAAAAGCGCCGAGCTGGCTTTTGGTCCTCCCTCTGCTAAGCATCAAGTTCATGTTCTCTTCACTTTATTTTCTTCTATTAAACTTGGATCATGGCGTAAGACAGATTTCACAAACCGTCCATTTGCCTGGCAAATCTGTTTTTTCACTGCGTGAAAGTGCTGCTTTGAGAGGCCAGGTGCCAGCATAGTAGCCTGAGCCTACTCTAGGCATGGGCTCCTTCTCCTTGCCTCCCTGTCACCTTCCTCCCCTTCTTTTGCAGAAGTTATTTTCTGAAACAGTGTCCAGTTCAAACTCCCTCACGCACAGCTTTCTGAACTCCTGAGACCAGCGTCATCCTCCTCCTCCATCTACATCCCCTCTGATGTCAGTCTGGATCTCCATCATCCATACCTCCACTTCTAGGATCCACAGCCTGACGGATCAAGCCTTCCACCTTCTAGTGGCAAATGTGAAGTCAGCTCTCCGAGTAAGAAGGTATCCAAGTGCAGCTTCTGAATCCCCAGACTGGTGAAAGGAACCACAGAGGCCACATAGTTGACAGCACCACAAAAAAAGCCCTGGGAAGGAGGTATACAAATTGGTATGGCTGCATGTCCCTCTGGCTGTCAGACCCTTACAGGACCATCAGGCAAGGGCTGCCTCCTGGAGTCTGATAATGTTCCAGGATGAGCAAGCCTTGTGGTATGTCGAGTTGGAATAGAGCTGGTTGGGGTCCTGCCTATTGCTTCTGTTCCTGTCCACACTGGATGTGCACAGCACTTTCCTATTGGTCTGGAGTCTGGACTGAATCTCTCCTCTCCTCTCTCTCTCTCTCTCTCTCTCACACACACACACACATACACACACACAAGCCTGTCAAGCTCCCTGATTCTTCTCTGCTTCCTGGCTCAGTACGGTGTGAACTGCTCAGTTCCAGCTGAGAGTCAAGATACAGGGTTTTTTTTTTTTGGCTGCTGACAAGTACTTGATTCCAGCAATGATGATGTCAACTAAAGAAATACTGACCATTTGGAGAGACTGTTGAGCCTTGTAATCCATGAAAAGAGTAATAGAGTACCTCTTTACTATAGTTTAGATGGTCCTAAATTTATTTTGTAAATGTTCTTGGCTTTCACTGTGTACATTTAAGTATAATCTTTTGAATTTTTAGTGTATTTAGTTTAGTGTTTTGTATTTTAATGTTTATTTTGATTAATTCCACTTTCATCTCTTTTACTGACAAAGATCTAAGATGCAGTTTTTATCCATAATTCACTCATGACTTCACAGTTCTTCATTCACTCTGAGAGTATGAAGGCTCACTGTTTTCATATCTAATTAATCAGTGACCTGAGAGCAGATTCCATTCCTGTTTGTGTGGGGGCACACAAATACCTTCACCATCATGCATTTTCTTTAGTATCTTGTCACTGCCAGTCCGCTGCTATTACTGGCTATGGCCCCCGCTGAGATGGACTGCACATGCTGACTGTTTCACCAGGAAGCCTGATTGTACCAGAGTCAGAATGAGGGCTCTTCTAAGCTAACTTCCTGCAAAAACAGGCCTACACCCCTCCCCCCTGCATACTTCCTTTATTCAAGCTAAACTCTCATGCTATAATTTGGACTGTCTGAAGTGGGAATCCTTGTCTGGAGAACTGAGACTTAGATGATCTTTTCCCATGAGAAAGGTCATGGTGACTGATGGGTGGGGTTCTGTTCATTCCTAGGAAGCTATAATGAGGAGATTTGTGACCACTAGAGGTCCTGTATCAAGCCCACTCAGGAGATAAGCACCTTCGCTGCCCAAGGTCACATATGTTAGACCTCAGTGGGCGGTGGTCTTCAATGCAATTGTCCTGAGGTGAGCCACAAATGCATGGTGAGTGCACTTGGGTTTGCTTCCAGTTTATATCCATAAAAAAGGAGGAAATGCAAACGAAACCTTGACATAACCCCTCACACACTGTACCAAAACATTGATGTGTAAGCATTGCTTCTAGAAAATCAGAATGGGTTAAGCATTCTCAATAGCATAAGACACCTTTGAAAGCACTGGCCACTCCACTCTTCAACTGTGCATATAAACTGGATATGGCAGGTTTGCCCGGCCTTGTGCTCACAGGAAGCAGGGATCTCATGACATTGCAACTTGTCCTCAGCAGACCTTAAAACTGTGCTGTTACACAGTTTCAAAAGCCTGAAATCTAAGCATTACCATCTTTCAAGAATGGCATAGGCCTGGTCTATAACAACAAGGGCTTTCATCTCCCTACTTTCAGGATGGTCTGTCCCCTTGCAGCGTCTCCCAAAACCAGTGTGGTCTGTTGAGTACAAGCTGAGTGGACAGCATAACTACAATTTAGAAAATCAAAACCAAAGCTAACAATTTATTAAAACCAATTCTAAAAAATAAACAAAGCCCTGAAGAGAACCACATGAGTACAAAAGCAATTTCTCAGGGGAGGGGAGTGTGAAAGGGTGTGGCAGGGAATTCTCTGAAGAGGAGGACCTGCAGCACCAAAGACGGGGTGTGTGAAAAACACACTATCTGCTGACACGGGTTCTTCCACAGCTGCTATCAGGCATGCTGGCTGGATTCTGCTCCCACATCTGGCTGCAACAGCAAAGGTGTCACAGAACTTTCTGGTGGTTTTCTGCTCTCTGACTCTGGTGAACAAGCTGGTTCTGGCCCCAGAGTACCTAGTTTCTCTGCCAGATAAAACACTTCAAGCTCTGGATCTTCGGATATGTGGCTCCACAGATCTAAAGATGGAGACAGATGTGCTGCTGATGCAGTCATTGTGAAAGGAGGAAGTGGCATTGGGTTGCAGGAGGAGACAAGATCCCCGGGATGAGACCTCCTCTCAGCCTTTCCAAAGACAGAGGAGACCTATACTTGCAGGGAATCCAGACCCTGTCCTACAAAAGGACGTGTGCCCAGACCAGGGTCCAGTGACAGCTCCCGCAAACAGGAGCCTCTCAAGCCTCCCCCGGAGCACCAGGTGCTGAACCCTCCTCACATACATGGTCTCAAGCACCTACCTGAGTCTTCATCATCCTCGATCTCTGACTCACTGGCCTCTTCTTGCTGCAAGTCAGTCAGGAGCATATGGACACGAACAATAAGGTCGGAATATGGCATGTTCACAATCAAGTAGGTCTTCAGCTTCCTCAGAATGGAGAGGTCTGAGGTCTGACAAAACTCCTCAGGGTTCTTATCTATCCATGTGTCCAGGAAGGAACAGAGGGTGCTGGGGAAAGCGGATGAAAAGGTCAGTCAATGGCCAGGCCTTTCTTTGTCTAAAGCTCCTATGGCTCCCTGAAGGGAGGATTGCAAGGAAGAAGCTATCACTGCCCCCTCCCCCCCGCCCCCTGTGCTTATCAGTGTAGTGTTTGAACAGGGCTGTGAGGTCCATGTGAGCAGGGAGCTCCACACACTTTTCTCAGCCTCTAATGGAGAACAGCTGAGCAGGTCTGCCTGGCAAGGGTTGGGATGGGATGAGGGTAGAGTCTCACAGGGGCACTTGAGGCCCCAGGCTTCCCCCATCTCACCACTTGCAGGAACCCTGCCCATGTAATTCTTCTGACCCTGCAGGCAATGCTTAGACATCAGTATGGTACTAGACACAGGAAAAGAATGAAATCACAGCATTGGCCAAACCATACCCTTGTGAATGCAAGTGACCCCACACTGGAGCCCAAGCCCTTCCTCTTGATGCAAAGCCCCCTTACTTCTTTGCTTGTTCATCCTCTTCGCAATAAGGATGGAAGTATGAATAGCTACAAAAGACAAGACAGGATGTAATCTGTACAGGTCCAAGTCCCCAGCCGGAAACACATCTGGGGGCAGAACATCTCCTGGAGAAGAATCGCAATACACAACCTCCAAGTAAGATCTGCCTACTCTCAGAATTGTTAGTTCACCTGCATACAGTAGGTGTTTCAAATATGCTCATGCAATATGTGAACATAAACATCTCTATGCAGTGGGCACAGCGTCCCTCGAGTTGCCCTCCACGGATCTCCACTCTCGACACATTTCTACTGGGCACTCCGATAGGAGTTCTAGAACCTCCCTTACAAGTGGGAGAAGTGCTTTCATCAAGGCCTCAGCAATTTGGGTACGGGGATAGAGAGCTCTTTAAAGGTGCAGGGGACAGCCTCATTCATTCAGGTCTCGGCTCTGGGACCTTGGGCCAACCCTGGGAGAAGCATTTTCTGACTTCATGCTGCAGCGTCCTGACAGTACTCTAGACTTTATCAGCAGACAGTGCTTCCCAGAACCAAGAAGAGGATCTGAGCCCTCTGGGCTTGGAGGTGGGCACTCACCGCTTGAACAGCAGGTCCAGCACCTGCTGGGTGGTGGCAAACCTTCGGTATGTACACAGGAAGGCAGGGACAAAGAAGGTGTCCCCAGCCTGCAGGGAAGGCACCAGGTGGTTCACTAGCTTTTCCACCACATCTGCACTGATGCGGGACTCTCCACAGGGCTCCTTCTGGTCCTTTGGGGCAGAATCCTCCTTAGCCTGAGGAGAGATCAAGGTCGATGGTTCAAACAGGCACAGGTCTGCAACATTCTCATTGGTTGTTATCATTGCAAGTTTCCCTGAATCATTACACTGCCAAACAGACAGAGCAAAAGTAGGGGAAACTCTGAGGTTTCAGAGGTTACCTTGTCAGTGTGGCCTTGGCTCTGGCTGCCCTGGGTCAAGTCTGCTTCCTTCCGGGAAAATGGCCAGAGGCGTTGGAGGCAGGAGTGAATCCTGTGTCTCCAGGGACCACCATGGCCTCCACTCTTGTCCTTCTTGACGCCTGTTCCTCTAGCAATTTTAAAACAGCAGAACATCCTGCTTTCTCTAGGGTCTCAGCCTCGTGAGCCTGCTTGGCTGCATGTAGGCAGTTGGCTGCCTGGTTACCAGGATTCTGCATTGTTGGGTCATGCTCAAGGAAGTGATGTCACTTCCTGGGGGTCCCTTTCCTAGCACATTTTCACAAAGTGCTTTTCCAAAGACTCCTAGGTGCTCTCACACTTATCTTGTTCACAAGGAGACAGTTACATAGGTGCTCTGTATGCTTCCAATGCACCCATCAATGTCAGGGTGTAAGCAGCACCCCACTTTTAATATCTGAGAACCTATTTTTGAATGACATCTGTAAGAGGAACCCTAAACTGCATCCTACTTATCCGAGTTTACCTATAACCATAACCATCTTGCCTTCCATCTATGCTACCTCGTGTGTGTTCTGTGGACTGTGGGTACATGCACGCCTGTGCCAGCCACCAGCCCCACAATGCCAGTGTTCCTGCATAGGAATTGTGTTTCCCAGGACCAGTTCCCACCCCTTGATCATCAAAGTACTCATGCCCAGAGGGTTGCAAGCTCTCTGTAAACAGCTGGCTCAGCCACGTCCACCAGCTTACAAGATGGATGGCACCTGCCCCCCAGCACAGTCTCAGAACTGATTCACCTTCCATTGTTGCTGCTTCAAATTGCTGCTTGAGTGCTTGTCCCGACTTTCTTCAGGGATGGACTTTGAGTTGTAACCTGAGATAACCCTTTTTCTTCCCTAAGCTGCTTTTGGTCACAGAGCTTATCACAGCAACAGAATGAAAGTCGAGCATCACGCTTTCTCTGCCACCATCCTGTGTTCTTTGGCAGCTGACCTCCTCTATAGTTCCTCACCTTCCTCACTCCCTGGTGTCCCATTTCTTCCTCTCTACTCAGTGTTTGCTTTTTCTGGGGTCCCATTGGTCTCTGCCCCACAGTCCTTCCCTGTTCATCCCCTGGCCAGCCTCCTCATTCAAACAGAGGATCTGGGTCAATGATTATCAAGTCAGTGAGCTAGTGAGTGAATAGCATGTGCCTGTGTTGGGATTTCACATGGAACTAAAGAATCAGAAACTTTTAGGTAAGTGAAAATGTGTCTCCTTTGTCTACTTGAAGTACCTTCGTTGTCATTCTTCCTTTATTCCTCCTTGCAATGTTTTCATAGTTCTGTTACACAGACTCCTTCAGTTCTATGTATCTAGGGATCACTGACATTTACTTTTTTATTCTGAAAGTTTGGCAGCAGGAAAAGCAGTGCAGGGAAAGACATTGCAAAGGGACCCAGAGAGGAGGCCTGGAGCCTGCAAGGGCTCCTCCACCACAGCCCAGCTTTCCCAGTGGCTGCTGAGACTCAGCACTGCCCCCATGTGGAGGAAGATGACACAGCAGATGAGAGTCCTTGTAAAATGACATTGCAGTGTACTTATTTTATGAAGAAGAGCATCTGAAGGCTAGATTTCACTGGGATAAGACTAGACATGCAAAAATGATTGATTATATGATAACTATATGTGTTCTCTTTACATCCCATGATAATCTTTTCTAGTGACTGAGTTTGAAGTGAGTCAGAGGTGGCTGAGACAGAGAGCGAGAGAGAAAGAAAGAAGGAGAGAGAGAGAGAGAGAGAGAGAGAGAAAAGAAGGAAGAAAGAAAGAAATAAAGGAAGAAAAAAGAAAATGTAACTTAGCTGCATTTAAACAATTTTAAAATGTGTAGCATTTTTTATAACCCACTTAAATTAATGAGGTGACTTTGTGAAAAGTACTGACAGTTCATATTGGTTGAATTTTATAGCATGTGAGGTGTACCCTGATCTATCTTACAAGAATTCTAAGTAAGGTTAGAGAAACTGTTGAGTGTTTCCTAATCTGTTAGTATGTGTGCATGCACAGAGTGAGCACCCAGTAAGAAAACTGAACTGCTGACGAATCTGCATCAGTGATGCAGACACAAATGCAGGTGTGCAGGGCGGGGAACTGTGAATTAGTCAATGTGTGGACATCACAGTGACTTTATAGCTCTACTAGATGTGAGAGGAAAAGCATGAGCTGGAATGACTCATCATACCCCATGCATGAGCACAACCGCTGTGTCAATTAAACATAAACGTGGACTTCAAAAGAAGAGAAAAATTTTGGTAAAACATCTCAACTATCTGAGCACTATCTAAAAGCTACAAAACATCCTCGAGCAAATGGAACAGCCTGTAGACCAGGAAACTTAGATCAAGTGTGGACAGATTTGTTATTGAGAAATCCCCTTTCCCAGTGTTATTCCTAGCAGGACACTTGGCCCTTTGTTTGTTTGTTTGTTTCATAATGGTTCCAAAATTTCCAAGGAAATCTACTAGTTGAGCTCAGAAGTTGAACACTCTACTACCATGAAAAAGGGCTAGTATTTGATATCCAAAAATTAAAAAGAAACCATACATGAGAGAACATGTTCAGGAATTACTAAAATAGCCATGAAAGAAGAACAAGTTAGGAAGAGGAGGGATTTTAAATGCGTATCTATGAAAATCAAAACAGTGTGATACTGATTAAAAGGATGTCAAGCATATAAAACAAATAGAATCAAAGAAACTACAAAAACTGTCTGTACATCAGTGACCAGCTAACTGGTGTGTGTGTGTGTGTGTGTGTGTGGGTGTGTGTGTGTGTGTGTTTGTAGGAAACATTGACAACAAAGTGGAGACCAGTTTGTCAGCCTGTGAACAAGCCCAAATCCACATTCACATTTTCAGAGAGTAAACAGAAATCCATCCATCCATCCACACACAAAGTGAACTCAGAATGGACCATAGGTCCAAATGTAAAACTCCAACCATAAAAACACCAACCATAAAACTTCTACAAAAGCTGGATGTGTTGATGCATTCTTTTAATTCAAGACCTTGAGAAACAAAAGCAGAGACAGATTTCTCAGAGTTGGAGGCCAGACTGGTCTACATACAAGTTCCAGCCCAGCCAGGGGTCCAAAAAAAAAAAAACAAAAACAAAAACAAAAACAAAAACAAAAACAAAAACAAAACAAAACAAAAAAAAAACAAACCTTCTATCAAAAACAAACTAACAATCTTCTAGAACAAATCATAGATGTTAATCTCTGTAGAGCCTGGTCACAAATAGAGTTCTTAGTCTGATATAAAACATCAAACCTCATGAGTGAAGAAAGTGTCATAATGTGAAAATGATGGACCTACTAATACTTGTTCGCTGGTGCAGCAGTAGCATGGCTTCTAATCACCATGCATTAGTGTGTCTCTCAACACTCACCAGAGAAGCCTCTTTTCACATCAGATGATGACTAACACAGAGAACCATGACCGGTTAGGTGCAGAAAATATGTGACTGAAAAGCACTCAGCCATAAATGCAAAACCTTTATCTCACCCACTCTTTTCTAAGCTCAGGGATTGTTTCAGAAGAAGGGACAGAGAGATCAAAAGTGTTTTCCAGACACAACAGGAAATCTTCCCAAATGAACTCACAGCCTTTGTGATGTCATCCACAAGGCTTCACATAGCCAAGCCACACAGCCAGCCAAGCATGGAAAGTGGAAGCAGGCATGAAGCTCTACCTCTCATTGAAGAGCTGTTGGCCATTTCTGCTGGGAGGAGAGTCAAGTTCGTTAAGAACATGATTGCTAGTAGGTTAACCATGCTTTAACGTATGGCCTCACGCTTGAAGGGTGTGGACAGCACAAATTGGACCAGATGGATTATTTTTTTTAATAAATCATTTATTATTATTATTATTGATTACACTTTATTCATTTTGTACCCCCCATAAGCCCCTCCCTGCTCCCCTCCCGATCCCACCCTTCCTCCCCTTTCTGCTTGCATGCCCCTCCCTAAGTCCACTGATAGGGGAGGTCTTCCTCTCCTTTCTGATTTTAGACTATCAGTTCTCATCAGAAGTGGCTGCATTGTCATCTTCTGTGGCCTGGTAAGGCTGCTCCCACCTCAGGGGGAGGTGATCAAAGAGCAGGCCAATCAGATTATGTCAGAGGCAGTCCCTCTTCCCATTACTATGTAACCCACTTGGACACTGTACTGCCATGGGCTACATCTGTGCAGGGGTTCTAGGTTATCTCCATGAATGTTACTTGGTTGGAGTATGATTTTCTGGGAAGTTTCCTGTGTTCAAATTATCTTGTTCTGTTGCTCTCATTGTGGAGTTCCTGTCCTCTCCAGATCTTGCTATTTCCCACTTCTTACATAAAATTTCATTCACTCTGCCTGACAGTTGGCCATCAGGCTTAGCATCAGCTTTGATAGTCTGCAGGGCAGAGGCTTTCAGATGCCCTCTGTGGCAGGTTTCAAGGTTGTTTCTTGTTTTCTTCTGGCTTTCAGAGGCCCTCTGTAGCAGGTTCCTAGGTTGTTTCCTGTTTTCTTCTTCTTCTTCTTCTTCTTCTTCTTCTTCTTCTTCTTCTTCTTCTTCTTCTTCTTCTTCTTCTTCTTCTTCTTCTGTCCATCCTCTTTGCCTTTCAGGATGGGGATTGAGCATTTTAGTTAGGGTCCTCTCTTTTGCTTAGTTTGTTTAGATGTACCGATTTTAGTGGGTTTATCCTATGTTGTATGTTTATATGAGTGAGTATATACCGTGTGTGTCTTTTTGCTTGTGGGACAACTCACTCAGGATGATCCTTTCCAGGTTCCACCATTTACCTGCAAATTTCATGATTTCCTTATTTTTCATTGCTGAGTAATACTCCATTGTATAGATGTACCACAGTTTCTGCATCCATTCTTCAGTTGAGGGGCATCTGGGTTGTTTCCAGCTTCTGGCTATTACAAATAAAGCTGCTACAAACATGGTTGAGCAAATGTCCTTTTTGTGTACTTGAGCCTCTTTTGGATATATGCCTAGGAGTGGTATGGCTGGATCTTGAGGAAGCGCTATTCCTAGTTGTCTGAGAAAGCACCAGACTGATTTCCAGAGTGGTTATACAAGTTTACATTCCCACCAGCAGTGGAGAAGGGTTCCCCTTTCTCCACAACGTCTCCAACATGTGTT